CTAACCCTGTTTCTTCATGCATAAAGTGGGAATAATAATAATCAACCCAGAGGATTACTGTATTAAATGAAATAATTCGTGGATACAGTATGTTCGATACTGACAACTAATATTATTAATGCAGATCTGATTTTCATGTGCATTATCTTAATGTTCAATGTGAAATCTGTCCAGACACTGAAAGAAGATCATCTGGGCTTGCAGTGAAAACTGGGCTTCTCAAGAGATGGCCTCAGAATAAAGGTGGTAAATGTCCATCCATAGCCTGTAAGTAACTGATGATCTGTCCATTCAGTGCAATCCTATGCAGCCATTAAAAGAAATGAGAGTTTTCTGGAGTGTAGGTGTAATACTTCGGCTGAAGTTACATCCTGAACAAAGGTGCCTCTGGGCAGACAGGTCCCATGTGGTGGAGTAGCAGAAGACATCACATCTCTAAGGACACCGTGGAGAAGAGGCACCGACCAATCCTGGCCTGCCTTCTTCCAGACTTCAGTGTAAAAAAGACAAAAAAACTACCTTCTTTGGATGAAACTGGAGGGTGTTATGCTGAGCGAAATAAGTCAATCAGAGAAAGACATGTATCATATGACCTCACTGATACGAGGAATTCTTAATCTCAGGAAACAAACTGAGAATTGCTGAAGTGGTGGGGGGTGGGAGGGATGGGGTGGCTGGGTGATAGACATTGGGGAGGGGATGTGCTATGGTGAGCGCTGTGAATTGTGCAAGACTGTTGAATCACAGACCTGCACCCCTGAAACAAATAATATACTATATGTTAAAAAAAAAAAAAAAAGAAGATGGTAGGAAGGGAAAAATGAAGGGGGGGAAATCGGAGGGGGAGACGAACCATGAGAGACGATGGACTCTGAGAAACAAACTGAGGGTCCTAGAGGGGAGGGGGGTAGGGGGATGGGTTAGCCTGGTGATGCGTGTTAAGGAGGGCACGTTCTGCATGGAGCTCTGGGTGTTACACGCAAACAATGAATCATGGAACACTACATCAAAAACTAATGATGTAATGTATGGTGATTAACATAACATAATAAAAAAAAAACCTACCGTCTTTGAGCTAATGTTACTTTGGGTTTTTATTGTTTCCAGCTGAAGAAAATCAGAACCTGTACAATAGGTGATTACAGTACGTCATAGTAAAGCAGCATGGCTTGCACAGAGGGGGCCCCCTGGGCCAGTCTTGGAAGATCAAGGAGGAGGTTGTTAAAAAAAAAAGAAATGAGGGACACCTGGGTGGTTCAGTCGGTTAACGTCTGCCTTTGGCTCAGGTCATGATCCCAGGGTCCTGGAAGCCCGCATCAGGCTCCTTGCTCAGCGGGGAGCCTGCTTCTCCCTCTCCCTCTGCCTGCCACTCCCCCTGCTTGTGCTCGTTCTCTCTCTCAAATAAATAAAATCGTAAAAAAAAAAAAAAAAGAAACGAGATAGATCCAAATATGTGAATGTGGATCCAGTTCTAATGTATGAACACGGTTAAGAAAAATGGTACAGGGGGATAGAACAGTGTTTTAATAAATAATCAATCACATAGAAAAAGACATATATATATGTATGTGTGTATAACATATGTATGTAGACACATACACAGAAAGAAGGGAAAGCTGAGTTGGGGGGCGGGGGAGGCTTGAGGATTTGAAAAGTCTTTATGGTGGAAATGAAGGTCAAGTGCAGTTGTGAGAGTTGAGGGTGGTAGGCTAACAAAAGGAAGACCAGGGACAGAAGCAGCCCCCCGGAACACAGGCATATCCATGGAAAAGCCTGATTTGGTGAGTGTGACCTCTTTGCAAAGATGCAAGCCCCTCAGAGCGGCTGGACCGTGAAGCACTGCGAGGTGCACACCGGGGCAGGAGTGGAAAGGAATCAGGATGGGTTGGTGCTGGATCACACCTGATGGCCGGCTAAGAGAAGGGGGGATGGGGGTGCCACCTTCAAGACAAGAGGCAACACGATCAGGACTGTGGTCTTGGAAGATCCCTTTGGTGACAGGGTGGAGGATGGATCACTGTGTGACATGAGGGGCCATCGCTACGGTCTGGGCCAGAAATTCGGAAAACGCCCTAAGCAGGGGCCCCTGTGGTGGGGGCAGAGCAGGCAGCCTGCAGAGGGATGTGGGGATCACTGGAAGTTGACGGAAACTGAAGCCATGGCTGATGTCCAAGCCTGTCGACTGAGACAGAATCTAGAACGTGGCAAAGGAGATTATATTGGTGGTAGCTGCAGAGACAGTGGATACAATTTAGAATTCACTGTATTGGATGTGCCAAAGGCACATCCAAATGGCCATTAGCTCTGTGGGCCTGTGGGTCTAGCACTCAAGGGAGACAGGGACGTGGGTAACTGATGCCTCTCAGTCTCACGTCAGAATGTTCCAGTAAAAGCCTGTCTGATAAAGTGTCTTTAATAATACAGCACAATATGAATCAATGCAAATGGGAAATGACCTTTTATTTGAGTCTTGCTCATTTCCAAGTCATTTGTGTCATGATCTAGTGTCACAAAGAGGGTTTGGTCTAACTACATGGAGGACCGTTTTTAGTAGCTTGAATTTCGGGTCCCTCTGTTGGACACTGATTGGTGGTCCAGTCTCCCCCATCGGACCAGAATGTCACAGCTTACCTCAAAAGTTCCGCCAGGAGAGGTCCTAAGACATACTTCCTATTCTGAGAGTAAGATGGTCTGCTTGGATGGGGTGTGAAAACAAACAAAAATCCCGAAATGTACAGCCAAGTGGTCTTTCGGGTACCCTGGTTATTGACTATACCTAACATTCCCCTGATGTCTGCAGTGCTTGAAGACAGGGATGTTTTAAAAAGCAAAGGCAAAAGCCAGAAGACTTTTCTACAGCGGGAAACAGTGTGGCATTCCTGCGAAACCTCACAATTATACTTGGCTTTACCTGGTGTTAGAAGTGACCAAAACGAATCAGGTCCAGAAGAGCATTCAGTAAAGCTGCTTTTCTGACTCTCTGCCCCTGCCCTTCCTGCTTCTGCCACCGAGCAGATTGCAAGAGGCTGGTGCCAACTCTACATTGCTTAATAATAATTCTCATTAGCATGCCGCCTTGGATGTGTATTGCAGAGCAAAATTTAGCTCCTCCTCGGTGTGAATCAAGAGAAGAGCCATGAAATTCTCAGAGTGTGCAAAATGTTGGAAGTCCTCAGCAAAGGAGACCCCTTTGGATGGGCATAGCGCCCTCTCCTTCCTCTCCCCGACGTGGTGGGAGAGACAAAGAGGGATTTGGGTACCGTACTAGGTACCTCTGGTTCCTCCTGCCTCTCCGTTTGGCCCCCCACCCCCACCCCACCGAGATTTCATATGGGGCTTCCTACAGCACAGTCTGCTACATTCCAAACCCCCGCGGCCTGCGCCAGCCCAGCACCCCTGCCAAGCCAAGGCGATCTGCGCTGGTCCGTGCACTTGACCGCACGGCAGCAGGCCGCGTGCACCTGCAACTCCATGACTTTCTTGAGGTCACTCCCGTTAGCGTTCATTATGAAAGTGAACGGGATGCTGTTTACTCTGCTGCAGATGCCAGGGTGACTGAATGACACACCGAGGAGACACGCACAGCCTTACACGTTCCCAGCCTACTTCGCAGGGGCCATATTTCCCACAAAGGCTTTCACATGCCATCTGCCGTCACATGATACCATGTGCTGGGGCCTTATAAGAAATGGATTGGATCACCCCATTTCTCACTCCTTCTTTAGAAACGGCAAATTGAACAAGACATTAAGTAGGTTTCACACGGCAGGAATTATGTGCATACGAAATGGAGTGAACTAAAAAGAATTTTTATTGTAATTGCTGGCTGCAAAATGGCACACACACACCCTTATGAAAAATTTAGACAAGTTCTCAGAGTTCGTGGCTAGCAGAAAAGAGACTTGTTTGTGTGTGTGTGAATTTGCTTGCCAACAGAACGCCCCCGAGGAAATTTAGATGGGGAGTCCAGGGCATTCTGTAGTTTGGCACTTTTTTTTTTTTTCATCCTCCTGTTGCTACCATTGCTCGGGACTGATGGGAGGCGAAATTCAGTGGTAGAGAAGTTCCACGTTGTGAAAGCCGACCGAACACGAGCCAGAGAGAGAACCAGTGCAGAGTGTACCCGGGGAACAAATGAATTAGCACAGCCTGCCAGGTCTCATTCCTGAAAGATGGCACTTTTCTTTGTTAATTGAAAAGAAATGTAAAATGGGGGAAATAGAAAAAAAAATTTAATAAGAAATAAAAGATCTCTAGCTCTTCTTTCCCTCTTCTCCTTCCTGACCTCTGACAGCACACTAGAATGCTTCAGTCTTGCATTTTCATGTATTATTCTGATACCTGTCTGTAGGGAGCCTAGAACGGGCTGCCAGAGAGACAGTCTATAATTGAATGTTCTTTCAAGAGAAGGACTTCTATCAGTCCTGCCAAGGGAATAGGAGCTCCACCTGCTGACTTTTTTATGTTTGCCGACTCTGCGAGAAGACAAAGCATAAAGAAGTTGAATGGCAGTTCTTTCTTTTATGATTTCTCCGTGGAAATACAGTTTTCAAAATTATTGATAAGATGTATCAGTCTAACCAGGGCTTTCAAGACGAAATTGCAATCTATAGCTTGTTTTAAGAGTGGGGATTCTATCTGGCTTCCCTGAGCCAGTCTAAGTAATTACTTTAATCTGTAACAACATATAAATTCATAAGTTGTTGCCACCGTGGCTCCTAGGGGATACTTGACTTTTCAAACCCGCGTCTCTCAGCCATAAATTTACACTACACTGCTGGTCCACGTGTGTGCTCTTTTAAGAAGCTGCAGTCTCTTATTATAGACAGTTTGGAAGAAACGCTAGCTGGTTTTGATCTAAGGAATAAAGATCAAATCCTAGTGAAAACATTAGTATTTTTAATAGCGTAGACATGTTTTGAGTATTTGGTGTCTGCATTTCTGAGAGAAGTTTTACTTCTGCAGAATACCCACGTATGACCGTCAGCCGTTCGCTTGTCTTTTCCTTGCTGAAAATTGCCTTGAGGACCGCGGACTGCATTACAAATATGCTCAGTCGCTTAGCACCTTGGACAGTGAGATCCTTGAGGGCAGGCACATCTGGCTGCTCACCATCTCAGGGTTGTGGATTTCGTCTCTTAACGAGATTTCATTCATTAACAGATGAGAAGCTAATTACCTGTTGGATTCAGCTGAAAAAAAAAGGAACCCTTTATTTATGGCTTGGGTTTTGTGCTTAGAAAGACATTTTTATGTTATTCTTTTTTTGTTTTTAAAGATTTTATTATTTGAGAGAGACAACGAGCGAGAGAGCATGAGCAAGGGGAGAGGCAGAGGGAAAGGGAGAAGAAGACTCCCCATTGAGCAGGGAGCCCGATGCAGGACCTCGATCCCAGGACCCCAGGATCATGACCTGAGCTGAAGGCAGATGCTTAACCATCTGAGCCACCCAGGCACCCCTATGTTATTCTTCTATTATTCTTACATCTAAGTCCTTTTCTGCACGCACATGAGCCACGGGAAGCCACAAAGTTATCCATACTCAAGTATCCCCTCAGCCCTCTATCAGAATAGCCAGATGATTCTTATGGGGGGCTTAGTTAGCTGGTTTTTTGGTCTTCCCCACGACTCTTCTGCTGGTCGCACACTATGTTCCTCATGAGCTGCCACCTCCCCCTTCTTTACGGGTAGTCCCATGACCCAGGACCATCATCCTGGTCCCGTCAGAGCCCTTCCCTGGGACCAACATACGGACAGTGGGAGGGAGATGCAATCTCCTTCCTCAGGAGCTGCTAAGCTGCAGGTGCTCACGGCCACCTTCTCTCCCACGTGGGGACGACCTGGCTGATGTGGGGAAAACAAGCCTGCCCTCAAAGCTAAGTCGAGATGGACAGAGATGAGCGCCTTGAGCAGGAGAGAAGTGCCTCAGCAGGGTCAACCCATTCCCGCTGTCCTCTAGGCCCTGGCTGGTAAAGCCCTTCCTTTGTTTCTGCGGGCGACCCTGTCATCTCCCCGCGAATCCCGTTTCTGGATTATGTGACTTTGGGACGGGTTTCTGTGGCTCACAACCAAAAGAGGCCCGACCACCGCAGCTCCATCCAACAGACATGCGAGTGTGCGACTCGACAATTAAATACTTGTGGGGAACTGAAGAGGCCTCATTTTCACCATTGAGACTAGAATTACAAAGGTTGGAGAAAGAGGAACAGAAAAATTTCTCAAGAGTATTAGGTAACAACAAAACCCAGCGTTCGTGGAGGGCTCTACAGTTTTCAAAGTACCTTCATAACCAGTGTCTCATTCGACCCTCCCGGTAATTCTGCAAAATGGAGAGAGTACAGGGTATAATTATACGCCTTTATAAACACAACAGAATGGCAAGTGCATGTTTTTCCTGTGGTTCAGGAATTACAGCGCAGGCCCACCATGGAGCACAAAGGATCCTGAGGTGTTTTATATTCTCCGTCCAGAGGACCCCCAGTTGGGGGGGCAGCCCCTCACTTCACAGTCTTACTGGGAAGAGCCACTTTGGAGAACCCACACAACGAACCCCAGACCCAGGGAGCACCAAGAGATTCCCTTGTGAATATCGGGGCATCTGTATGAAGGGGTGTCCGGCGTATCCGTGCCCAGCTGGACATCAGTTTTGCCAGCACTCCTGCCTGCCAGCCATTAAACAGGGCACCAGTAAAGGGCATTGGGGAGACAGTGATGCAGAAAACCCTGCTCAGAGAGGTGACTCTCCAAGGCCACACACCTGGGTAGCAACAGAACAGCAGTTTCAAGATAAGCCACCGATGTTCACAGGGTAGCACACATCAGAACCACAGGGTGGGAGACTTGTTATAACAGATTGCTCGTCCTACCCCTCGAGTCTCCGATTCGGGAAGTTTGGGGAAGAGCCCAAGACTCCGCATTTCTGACAAGTTTCCAGGTGATGCCGATGTGCCTGGCTCAGTGACTCCCCTTAGAGACACCCGCTAGTCTAGACCAACTCACTTCAAATTCAGGGATTCTTGTACACCACCACCCTGCATCCCTTTACCCCTGCAACCAAGAAGAGTTTGTTTCCTGTCCAATTGCAACGCTGACATATCGTCAATATTCTGAAATATAATTTTCCAAGACATGGTATTTCCTAGCAAATATGCACTTTGGGCAACTTTGTGCTATAGATCTGCAATGTAACGAACACTATGCTAGACAGCAGCTACAAAAGCTGATGTTGGAAGTAAAAATTCGAAACCCTGAAGTCTGTGTTGCTTTGATGCATATTTTAATGAAGAAGGATGGTCTGAAAGCAGGTCTGAACATGGGCAGTGCACACGAGAAACGGCAACTTTGGCTTTGCACATAAAATGTACATCAGGAGAAAAAAATAAAGCAGAAAATAAACAAGATGAACTCAAAATACTGTAGCAAATGTTGGGCTGAAACACTGCCAGGTGTGGAGGTGTAGAGAGAGATGAACACACATTTTGGTGGCAAGGCACAAAACTGTTTAAATCCTTTTGCAGAAGTTTCTGAAAACTGTCATTTTGGCATGGATCTATGAGCAGTGTTACTGGATTTATCATGTAGGCAAACCAACAATGCTCTGTGAGAATTGCCCTGTCCACCCTTGAATGTTTTGTAGCTCCTCTGAAACATCACCTCCGCATATGCCAAAGAATGGAACAGAGAAATGAATTCAGGAATTTTTTCTATACGATAAGAATATGCCAGAAGGTGTGAATTCTCAATGAATGGTAGCAAGTTCATGTTCTCCTAAGTAATTAAGTAATGTTCCTACAAAGGATTCAAACTGTTATTTTGGGGGTACATGAGAATATGTATACATAAGTGTAAATATATTTTTTCTTTAAATTGTTTTATTAAGTTTAGTTTACTACAAATTCAAAAATGCACAACTTCTTGTCTATGTTGGTGGCAGAGGAAAAGTTTTAGGTGTGAGAAGCCAGTGTATGGAAGTGACCAGAAACTTTAAAATAAAGACACAGCACATCTTCATTTATTCCCCAGAGAATGGCTGATGAAGGGCAGGAGTGGAGGCGGGTACCCCTGAACCCATTTGTCCTGCAAAGTAATTAATGAATTGTTCTAGCCACAACCTAGTCATCACTACCATGGGAGAGGTTCTTCTCAGCCTTAAACTTCTGATTATAGAACTCAAGGCTCAACAGCAAAAGGAAAGACAGGACAGTGCTCTCTGCCCACATATGCTTCAGGCCCCTTTGTACGTTTCTAACTATGGGGTCAAGACCCAATCTTACACAGAAGTGGAAAAGCAAGCCGCTGACCCAACGGCCTGCCTTTGTGTCTGCAAGCCTTATCTGTGAAGTGGATTTTTTAGAGCAGGATTTCCAAACACTAAACCACTGTCTGGAAGGAAGATAGAAAAAGAAATAGAGGATGCTAGTATGAGACCATGCAGGAAGGAAGCATGAGAAATTTATGTATTGGTGAGAGAGGTTTTTTTGTTTGTTTTTTTTCTAGATTTTATTTGAGAGAGAGAGAGCATGAGGGGAGGAGCAGAGGGAGAGGGGTAAGCAGACCTCATGCTGAGTGCGGAGACTGATGTGGGGCTCAATCCCACGACCCTGAGATCATGACCTAAGCTGAAACCAAGAGTTGGCCACCCACTGGGTGGCTCAGTCAGTTAAGTGTCTGCCTTCACCTTTGGTCACAATCCCAGGGTCCTGGGATCAAGCCGCAGGGAGCCTGCTTCTCCCTCTCCCCCTGCTTGTGCGTGCGTGTGCTCTCTCTATCAAATAAATAAATAAATAAAATCTTAAAAAAAAAAAAGAGTTGGCCACCCAACCGACTGTGCCACCTAGGTGCCCCTATATTGGTGAGAGAATTTAAGAAAAATGCCTTTGGATTCACCCAAAGTTTTCTCCCTTAGCTATTTCTATATGACTAAGTTTGAAGGTACTCCAAATAGACTGTTACTGTTGCAAACATAATAATAATAACAATAGAGTGTGTGTGTATAAGTTATCCGTGTGCAGACTTTGCTAACTTATCATCATCACTGTAGTGTTCAGAGGGAGGTATTTTCTTAATCTGACAGATGAGGAAATTTAAGAGGAAATTAAGGGAAGGTGCTTGCACCTTATTTATAAATGAGTGAACTGGGCTGATTCAAAACTGGCTCTCAGACTCCAGAGCCCTGATGTTTCCAATTGCCTCCACATACTGGGGGGATTTTAGTGGGATCGAGGAAGTGAAGATATTCCTTAGCGGTTAACATCTTGTGATGGCTTTAGCAGTAGCTGTTTGAGAGTTGGGACATGGCATAAACCTAAGATAAGGGAAGGAGGGAAAGAGAAAGCAATACTTAAGAACAACTGTGGAGATGGCCATCCTGGGAGGAAGGACCAATAGAATTAAAGCAGCTTTCTGAACTGGCTATGCTATCCAGGGCATGCACTGATGAATCAATTCAGCACATATGAATAGGGGGATTGTTACTTGGGTTCATAAGACAGAGCCCCTGCTTTGGTGATACCCATGCAATGATTCTCAAACTGTCACAATTAGAACATTCTGAGAACTTAAAAGGTCTAACGCCAGGCTATTTGGATTCACTTGTTCTGGGGTGAGGTCTGGGTACTCTTATTTCTTTCAAAGCTCCCCTGGTGTTTCTAAGGTACAGCCTGCAAGCGCCTGCCTGATGGAGGAGATAAGTTCCCACTGGCAGGATGGGACTGGGTTATAGGTACATGGAGATAAGCTGCCCCTTGGCTTTTGTACTTGCTGCACAATTGTCATTTTCTGTTTGCTGCAGTATGTGAAAGGTTGGAAAACACTAAAATCATGAGCAAGTAGACATACATCACAGTGTCTGGGCGGTATTTGGGTTCACGTGTCTCTACAGGGGGCTGAGGAAACTGATCCATTATCTAAGGTAAGTGCTCTAAACCTCGCAGAACCTCTCCCAGTAGGGCACAAAACAAGATTGGAAAACTTAGGGGATCTCAGAAATCATCTTCTAGCCCAACATTTTTGTCTCGGAGATAAGGAACTGCTTCAAGTCACGGAACAACTCGCGGGGAGGAGGGGAGCCTGGCCATGGACCCTGTTCTTTCAAACCCTCTCCAGATGATCTTAATGGTAACTTATAACCATAACCCTGCAAAGGATGTAGCATTTAATTGCATATAGGGAAAAATTAAATGTCTGCCCAAGT